TTCCCCAAAAAATGTCACGTGGTCGTAGCACAGAGAAAGAGCGCGAGAACAAAAATTGGGGAAGAGGTGGGGGTTAAGGCCCCGAAGGGTCCGTCGAGTACATATATGCAAGAGGAAGGCGCGGTGCACCAGTTATTTATTGTAGCTCCCGTTTATGCTTGTTATTTTTGTTGTTATGCTTGTTATTGCTTCTATTTGATATTTGCCCGGTCGACTGGCCCCGGTCTGACTGCTGCTCGCTGTTGCGCACGTAGGTGTGCACCGTGTGTACCTACGTACGAAGGGGGCGCCCCGTCTTATCTACCTCCGAGAGACATGCGTTCCACTACAGGTTCTCTTGGGGCCTCACGGCGAGATGAGCCCAGATTCGCATAATTGGCCGCTTAATACGGGGACCGTTCTTACCGAGAGAGGGAACGGAACCTGGCGATCACGCGGATCCAATAGAATTCTTGACTCGAACGGGACACGTTTAACGATTTAGGCATTTTTTTTTTATTTCGACGTTGTGGTGTAATTTGTGGATGATTGTTTGCTGGGGGGGGGGGGGCTGTCTGGGTGTCTATGTTGATGATCCGATCGAGAGGAATTGAGTAGTTACTGTATTTGGTAGTCTCTATTAGATTTGGAAAATTTCAGTGGAGGAATAGGGTCCGTGGTAATTTTTCGGGATTGAATGTGATCGATTAGTCAATTAGAATATTGTCTTTCACAATACGTACGAATATTGTAAAAACTGTGGATATCCGATGATTTCAAATGAGATGAATATTCTGCCTGAATGAACCATTCATCGTAGACAACAAGGCGCGGAGAACGGCGCCAGGAAATGTCGAATGGAAATTGGAATGTTCCGGAGGAGAAATTAATTAACGATGTCCATCGTCGAATTTCTCGATGTTATATACTGTGTACAAGGGGCGCCTGCGAAGAATCAGGTGAACTCGCTCGGTTGAGGAGAATGTTGCAGAGGGCTTTGAGGTACCAAGAGGCTCGTAAAGAATCCGGGGGCCCCTGGGCTCCGGCCTCAATTAAAGTTTATCGCGCGCTAATCGACCGTAATAGACGATTTTTCGGCGGGGCTCGCGAATATTAATGCGACACGGGGCCCCACCGTGGACCGTTAATTAAACTGTATTTAAGCCGAATTAATGACCGCGGCGATATCAACGAGCCTGTTAAGCTGCGCGACCGTAAATGAATGTCGAACAGGTGCACCAACCGGGCAGACGTTCGTTCGGGTCCGCGCACGTCCACGGTAATTGTTAAAGTCGTAAATCCCTTGTAATTGTTCAAGCGTGTGTCCCCGGCCTGTCCGACGACGTGTGTTACGCAGTCTGCGGTTGCGTTCACCTCGATTTTCAGAAATTCGGCGATGAACATTTTTAAACTAATATCTTAACGTCAATTTCCTTCATTTAATTCCCAAATACTTATGCTAGAATAATCAATTGAACAGTCGACGAAGATTTCTCTGTCAAAATTTAATCGTTACCTTGTTCAGACAACCTCAACAAAAGTTTAGGGCTTCATAATCCTATATTTTAGGTTTTATTGAAAAAAACATAAAATGGAGATAGGTTATGGTTCTTCTAATTGAAAAAGCTTATTTTTTGAGAATCTCCAATTTCACGATTTTTTTTAATATGTTAGGTATCGCCCGCGTGGACTTGGCGAAATTATTTTTTAAACAAAATTTTGAAACTGAATTGTACAAGAAGAAAAGATACATATATATTGTATTGGTATATTTTTAAGAGATTTTCAATTCTTCCATCTGTGAATTCTCACGGCGAACAATCCCTTAATTAATACAAAACTTCATGCACAATATTTTATTCTTCACCCACATACCATCTTCCGAACCGTCCTAAAATTTATCCCATCGAACGCCCTCCCAAAAAGGCTGAATATTTTCTCGAATACCCCAAGAAACCCAGTTAGAAGGTCCAGTCGTCTCAGTTCCGAATCGACGGAATTGCTGCTGGTCCCGCGAGTCGCGTACCGCACACACGCGTATGCATACACGTTGCTGATAGTTAAGTCATCCGTGTCGTAACTCTACGGTCTCTCGTGTGTGGCACCTCGGACGCAAGGTGGCCGGTAACACGTCGGTGTCGAACAACGCGGCCGTGTCAGAGGGCAGAGCTCGCGAAAAGTGGGATAAAGAGGGGCGGTGGGCGGGGAGGGAATTGAGGATGAAGAAGAAAGAAGTTCGAAGGAGACGTTTCAAAGAGTTTCCCCCGCAGAGGGGGGGTGGGAAGGGTGGGGGGGGTTCCGGAGGGCCGAAGACACCGCGAGAAAGAGAGAATAATGCGTTAAAGCAGCAAACCAGCAACTACACTCTAATTGGCCACTTTGTCCATTTATTCGATTTATTTAAATTATGGGACAATTGACAGTAGGCATTCTATTTTTTAAATCTCCCCGGCCAACCGGCTGATTGGGCGAGATTGGCGTGAGACACTGGCCCCACAGATTCCCCAGTTGTGGGCTTAATCAGCTTTGATTGCTGCCCTCTCTCTCTTCTCTCTTTCTCTCTTTCTCCTTCTGATCTGTCTCTCTCTCTCTCTTTCTCACTCTTTGTTAAGCTTGTACACGCTCCCTGGAACCTCTCTGTCATTTTTATTGTCGCGGCGAACCATTCGCGCGCGCGCGCGCAAAATACACGGTTCGGTTGGACGCGGCGAACAAGAGGGCAACAATTTTATTTTATTCCGTTTCAGCCGCGGATCTCGACCGCCGACGCGGAGAGCATTAATATCGTCCCGGGAGTGCGAGAGACGTTGATTGGACGAACCGAAATTGTGGGAATGTGTCTCCGGATAACAGAGACACCGACAGTGTCCCGCCCACTATAGTCTGTTTCTCTTTCTGTCTGTATGTCTGTCCCAGTCTCGTGATCCCTCCTTTGTCAACCGATTACCGTAATTTCCGCTGTCCCGTTGCTGATTCGTTTCTTCGTTTTCAACTGAAAATTCCCTAGCCAAAGACCGCGCGAGATGAATGATCGCGCGAGTCTGCGAGCGATTAACGAATATCCGCTCGTGATGTCACGTGTAACCTCGATGAAATATTAAATGAGTTTGTGATTACCGTGAACGTAGATGTTTATGGTGTATTTGACGGTGAATTTCATTCGAATCGTGTCTTTTCGGGGAAATTAATCGGGAAGACGAAGAGATTACCGATTGTATTTATATACGAACGTCGACGGGTGTTATGTAACCACTCGATCCTATCCCAGCGATGTCCTATAATTAATGAAATTCCCATCGAGTCACTGACTTCTCTATTCTATCGCCGATCGATCGGCACTGGCGTGCACACGATCTAAAATTAACCGAGTGTGTGCCGCTAGAATGCGCCCCGCCACGGACTTCTTTCTCGCCTAGGGACTTTTTCGTCCCGTTGGACGCGGCCCGATCGGGCAATCCGTTCGCCTCCGAACCACACGTGAAATAAACGACTTCGGGATCGTGTAAATCTGTACAATACGAAATTCACAGGTACAAAGAATCATTCGAAAAACATGCACTATTGTTTCTAGCTTGCATCGAAATGTCTTGTCAAGGATCGGCAGTCATTTTATAAAATTTTATTTTATTATAAATTATATTTTTAAGACAGAACGACCGATCGAAGGTCTAAAAATCGAAACAGTAGCTTCCTACGACAATTATATCCCTTAATTCGTCTGTTAATAAATAAAACGACGATTTCGTCCCGTCATAGCTACGTGATTTCACGATCGTTGGCTTGATATTTTCGATATGGACTGTTCGGGGGTGGCCAGTGTGTATGGGGGACCTGCATGAATCTGTTTTCACGCCGTGTTCTTCCTCTCTTTCCCGATGCCGAGCGCGCGAGCAATCGCCACCCCCTTCAGCCCCCTCGTGGGACCCACTTGCCCGCTCATCCTATTTCCTTGATAATTCCCATAATGCTGTGGGCGGATATTCCAATAAAGGGGGAATAGCCCCCGGCCACAAAACGCCTGAAAGCATGGGAGACACGGACTCTCCAACTGGAGGGGGGGGGGGGGGGGGGGGGGGGGGGGAGAGGCGACAAGCAAGCGCAACGTGCCCCTGTCCTTCGTTAAACGAGATTTCGGGATCCGTCGTCGCGTGACCGTGGGAATTGATAATTGACGGGGATGCGGGAGCATTCTCGGTGAATTTGAATAATTCGAAAAGATCGTGATCCGTTTTAGTCAGAATGAGGCTTTTGGGCTAAGACGAAGGAGGTGAATTCTATCGATGATCAATTCGTGATGGACGTGGTTACTGTTTGGAGCAACGAGTTTTTACTTTGTCGTGGTATTAATTAACAGATTGCAGTTCGTTATTGTTTCGATGAAAAGTATCCAGTTGACCTGGAGAATAAATACTTAAAGACAATTAATGGATTAACTAAGAATGTGAAATTCCTTCTCCCTTTGGAGTTACGTAAAAGCTTGTATCCCCGGATAAGAGGATAGGAACAATCATCGATCTACTATTTAAAGAATAAGAAAAATACCATACTAAAGTAATTACTAAATAGGTAGATATTCTTTGTATTTGTCCTAGAATACCGTATTTCCACTCCAAGAAGAGTAAATGTTCCCCTTCCGAGTGACAACTCTCGGAACCACCTGTTGATCAACCCCCTCACCTGTACCAGAATAAATCCGAATCTTCTACTTCAAATTAAAACCGATCCCAAAAGAGCATGCAAAATTAAATTCAACACAATAATACCCAAAGCTCCCGATCACACGAATAAAAAAAACTAACTAGAATATCGTCTGATTATTTCAACTGGTCGCGACACAAAGCTCCCTCCCTCTCCTCGCAGACAATTTCCTTATTCCCTTCGTCGTTCTTTGTTTCTTTTTTGTCTCCGTTCGTGCAACGTTCGATACCGTGGCCAGGCAGGGTCGTCGAACGCCAGGGACTCGATTTGAATCTAATTACGATCCCGATAATTCCGTTAAGGAGGAGGAAATAGTAACTCACCGGAAACCTTCGGGTCAGCTGCCTCCACCTTCATCGCCGCCAGGCTCGCTATTGTCGGCGGTACCTAAAAGAAAACACATTACGATGTACACAATGCACCAGCATGCTGCTCTCAGGGCCGTGCTTCGCGACGGGGACGACGAAAGGGGGGGGGGGGTCCCCCGCCCACGCAACTACGATCGAGGGGAGGGTCGAACGATTCTACGGGATGTGCGACACGTGTCGTCGGAAAAGTTTCAATATTCCTCCAAATTGTATAGACATTGCGTCGATCATCCAGGAGAATCGCCCTCCCATCGATGATTAAATCTTTCGTAAATCTATGGAGAAGTTTTTTTAAGGGGTAACTTAGGGTTGCCTTAAAAAAATGGCTGCGATTTTTTTACAAGGTCCACCTTTCGACTTTTATGAAACTTGGTAAAATTGACTGAAATTATCCTATATGATCAAAGGTATTTTAGCGCATTTGAAAATTAATATACACATATAAATATATCTATACGAATGAAATTGAATTCGAGATGTCGAATTTTTATTCCCTTGTCGGATTTTCATGGCGACAGAAACGGTCTTTATCGTTACGACATCCTCAGAGGGGACGTTAGGTGAAGCGGAAACGGCTTCCGGTTCCCCGAAAACGTCCAGGAATTGGAATACCGACACGGTTCGTAGGGTCGACGACCTTACCGATGCAAGCGCGTTGCATCGACCGAATGTGTGTCGGAAAATACATCAGGAAACTATTTACTAAATGTTATCCTTTGAACAGACACACGAACGACATAAACAGAAGTAATATAATTGATTAATGAGCCTTTCCAGCAAATGTTGTTTATGTCATTCGTGTGTCTGTTTTTATTAGTAAAAGGAAATGGTTTATTACACCATTGCAAAATCTATTAATCCCTTTCTGGTCAAAGTATTTTAGGTCCTCCACTCACAATCGGTAACACAAGAAATTTCATACGATTTAACTATCTTTTGATCTTTGAAATTGAATTGAATTGAAATATACGATTTTCAATTCTTCCATCTGTGAATTCTCACGTCGAACAGTCACTTAATTAATACAAAACATCATCCAGAATATTTTCATTCTTCACCCACGTACCATCTTCAGAACCGTCCTAAAATTTATTTCATCGAACGCCTTGCCATAAAGCTGAATCTTTTCTCTGAAGACAAAAAGTGACTATCCCTCATACGTGACCACCGTATTAATCGCAACTTTTGCAACACCGTACATATGAAATTCGATACTCGATTCGACGATAGAATTTCCGTAAAGAGTTCAGGGTCCTCCGTGTGGTGCAAATTAGATGGACAGAAACGGCCCGAAGAAGCAGAAAGAAGACTGGGGGCGAGACGTCGCTGGCCGGAAGCCCCATCGCGGTACAAATTATTCGAATCCTGTACGATTTCCGAAGCCGTATCTACGATCCACGGCGTCGGTGAATATCTGAAGCGATTGCCACATCGCGGACCGTCGCCACAGTGGTCCAGAACGACGTTTTAGGAGTTCGAATTGTGGTTGAACGCGTATGATTCTTGTTTCTACTGCCTATGAAGCAGTATTATGATATATTACAATATCAATGTTCCTAAAGGTGAGTATTTTTCTTTTTTCGCATGGGTATTACATTAGAAAATTGTGCAAATCAAATTTAGAGATGAACAACTATTGAAGTTATTGCTCAGTTTGATTTCTGATTTAATGATTATTCCAACTTCAATTCATTAAACTGCAATGTACTTCCAAGTGCGCCATTTTGTGTCTGAACTAAAAATATTTGTGAAAAGTATATATCCATTCATTCAAGAAGTAATATTGCTTTATTATTAAAATTCGAACAAGTAAAAATGGCAGAACACTTTCTTTTATTCGTTGTTCAAAACACTTGCCCAGATAATTTTCGTAATTCTAAACAAATACCGTTCGGAACCATTATGCGTCGCCTGGCATTCCCATCCCCTAGTTTCCATCCACGATTTTTCTTCTGGTAGCAGCGCGAGGATCGATCACGCGTCTCACGTGCACGGGAATCGTCGGTTCCATCGGTCCCGCGGCCACCGATCGACCATTTATATTCCGCGCTCATAATTATCGTCGACCTTCGATGCCCAATATTACGGATCGACCGTCGCGGATCGCATGGCAATGCGCCGGAAAGAATGTTTCACGCCGTTTCCGCGGGAAACCGAACGTCACCGATTAAACCACCCGGGGGATTGTCCAAAAATACACAAGATAAAATAGGAATTGCTAAATAGGGTACGACAATGAATATTTCTCGAGATATTCAACTTCAATTATGAATATCTTGAAAAATATTCGGAGTCTGACTCCATAAGTGGGATATTTTCGAGAATAGAATTACGTAATCTACCACTGTTCAAACTCTATTTAATAGGTTCAGTAGAATCCAACGATCAAGAGCCAAGGCACTATTATTAAACAGTATACTCACAGTAGGAAATTACATTCATGAAAATAACGTCTTAATTTCCTCTGTAATCCTGGTCTAAGAATAAATTAATAGTTTCCTTATCTATAAACACTGAAATTAAAAAGTCTATTAGCACTAAACCTACCACTGGTTTCACCGTTCTAATTCCTACAGTTTTGAAGGGTTCGATAGATTTGGTATTAATAAACTAACGTTTGAACACTTAAAAATCTTCTACAAATTTTCGTTTCCCATTTCCCAAACAAAGTCACTCATCACTGCACTTTTACATCCCCTGGTAACTTGCAGATCCACCAGGAAATCGAGAATCGATGAAAAATCGTCCCTTAACTCAATCGCCCGGATCGTTTCCCCAAGAAAGAAGACAGTGTACACGCTATTAAATCACAAAAAAATGATTATAAACTCGTTGAAATCACTTCGAAACACTAACAAATCCGCATTTTCGCCTCCTGACTCCCAGAGACACCCGGAAGAGTCCCTCTGTCACGAAGAACAAGTCGTCCAAGACTTTCTGGACATCGAAAACTCGGGCGTATCGTCGTCGTTCCGCGTTGGAGAAGATTTCGATTGCAGAGCAGGTCCCAGGGTTCGAGAAGCCGGCGAAGAAAAAGGAATAGACCGACGTGGAAGAGGGAGGAAGGAAACTGCGATCATAGAAACAAATAGAAAATACCATAGGTTGCTCGGAGGACAACGACGACAACGAGGAAGAGAAGGAAGAAGATCCAGCATATGAAAAGGAAGAACGTCGTCAGAGAGAGAGAGGGAAGAAAGAAAGAAGATCGTATACCAGGGCGAAAGAGCGAGAGGGGAGACGCAAGAGGTGGTTTCGACGAGCAGGTAAGGGACGGCGAGGGTGAAGAGGGGTGGGGGGCAAAGAGGGAACCTGGGAGAGTATAGAGGTATATGAGAAAACAATAGAGCTGATTTGCAAACAATAGAATAACGTTAAGAGTCGAGTATTATACGCCGTTGTTACTTCTTGTGCCATAACGCCGGAGAGCATATGCCCATTAATATTCAAAGGCGAAAATAATGTAAACGACACGACAAAAATCGGGGGAATAATTTCAATTCTCCCCGTATGGGATTCCAGCCCGACGATACACACGTACCACATGTACACAGAGAGAGAAAGAGAGACTCACGGGCCCATTTCGTGTCTCCTCTTCGGAACCGACGCGTACACACACGTGTACAATACCGTACAGAAGTATTTGGACAATTGCCGGAGAGTACACTGGCCGAAATTTCTATAGTCACCATGTTTTCTCGATGAATTCTTGTGAATTGTATTTCAAAATTACGAAAAATTCATCACGAAAGGATGTAAAAGTAACGATAGAGAGAATGTATAAGTAGAAATTTCATGAATGCTTTTACAGGTAATTGTTTCAGAGGTCACTGTACCTGTAGTTAACCCCTTGGCTGGTAAATACGAGTCACATACGCGATGACATATTCTAACTGCATGTAATAAACATTCATATAATTCGTATCCTTTAAGTCGATGTGAAATACTGTTTCGTTGGTATTAACATTTAAGATTTAAAGTAAATGTTACACTTGTCTAGAGAATAGAATTCTTTTTGTATCTGGGAAATTATTAACGATGAAGTAATTCTTGAGAGTGCAGCCGTGAAAGAAATCGTAAGGCAAGGGGTTAAAGGGTTAAATCGCAAATCTAATCAAATGATCCATTAATTAGCTGGTAGCAAATATATTATGCTTGTACTACGTGAAGAAAATATGGACAAAGAATTTATCGTGGAATGATTTTTTTTTCTAAATCCTCGGCCATTGTCAATGGAAATTCCGTGGAAATAATTTTCGGGAGCAACAAGTAGGAAAACCGATGGATCGTTCGAAAGCGACGTTGGCTGAATCACTCGGGCACGTTTTGATGACTCGATGATGAGTCGGTCGACAGCAAAGAATCGCGCGGCGTAGCCAGCGCTTAGAATAATTCAAGGGTTCCTGGAACCCGAGGACAATAATTCGCCGCGATATTACATTGCCGTGATCCGCGTCGTCGAAACTGTCCCTTGATTCTTGACCTTAATTCGTTCAGACGTGGTTCCCATAAAATAATCGAGAACAATGATTCTCCTTTCCCCTCGATTCGCGTCGCGATAGAAATAACCGTGAGAGGAACGATCGTGGCGCGGGACAATGAATTGTCCCAGTGAAATTTCGACGGCATCGATGGACGTTTATTCTAATAATCTGGTGATTCGATAATTTTCTATTTCTAAATTTCGAGAGACAATCAGTCGGAAGATCGAAGAGTATTTTTATGCTTTGTAAAATTGAAAGTGGGAATTTTCTATTTCTGAATTTCAATAGAAAGTCGACATAGGATCGAAAAGAATTTTTATGCTAGATAAAATTGAAAATGGGGATTTTCCATTCCCGAGTTTCGACAGAGAATCGATGAAAAAATCGAATAGAATTTTCATGCTTGATAAAATTGAAAATTAGGGTTTTCTATTTCTGAATTTCGACAGAGAATCGTTGGAAGATCGAAGACTATTTCTGTGCTCTGTAAAATTGAGAATGAGGATGTTTGAATACTGCGGGAATAGAAAAGGATTCGATAGCTACGATTTTTCTGTCAAGGATTTCACGTTCACGTAAATTTCAATTAGTCCCGCTATTAACCCTTTCTCGACACCACGAACGCCTGTTAACCCCTCGAGCGCAGTGTTGTGTCGCAACACGAGTACCGAATGAATTTATCACTTGCTGCAGCATTTAATTGCGATAATCGATTTCCTGAGCCACGTTGCCTCGAGTTTCACCTTCTACGAATCGAAATGATTCTCAGGATAACAAATTGATTCGTACTGGCGAAAATTACATCAAATTAACGTATACGTTTTCTGTGATCATTTCTGGGAGGAAATAAAGTATAGGCTCCCTATAGAAAATTCATTTTTCCTTCTTCGATTCTTGATCTTTTATCGATTCTCTGTAAAAATTCAGAAATATAAAATCCCCATTTTCAATTTCACGGGACATAAAAATACTCTTCGATCTTTCCATCGATTCTCTGTCGAAATTAAAAAATGGAAAATCCTTACTGTCAACTTATTCAAGCATAAATTCTATTGTTGCAGTTCTCGGATAGATTAAGGATGTTTCGAAAAAAAAATTGAATTGGTATCCACATTTTCGAGAAGATTGCGTCAGTCCCCGAGGAATTAACTTTCTAAAAGGACAATTTACATTCCGCGCCGTTCTCCGACACACCCTTCTGTAACATCATTCGATACGCGATTATGTGCATATTATTGTAGTGGAAAACACGCGGAATCGTTTCAGGCAACGTAATAATACACCTAAACACGCGACGAATCGAAATGTAAATCCACTTCGAGAAACGATTGTTGAAAATTATCCGATAAATACGCGAACAGAAGCATCGTGAAAATAAGCATGAATCATTCTCTCGTTTTGGCAACACTCTTACTTCCGGCGAATACGGGAATAATTGACGATTGGTCGACAGAGATTGAATTCACGTCGTGACAACCAGAATGCATCATCAAGTCATCGATGTTGTATTACATGCTGTTCTTGGACAGGGTTCAATTTCTCTGAACGAAAAAGATTGAAACTCTGCGACACGACAGTGTTTAAGGACTGATTTAATCAAGATTATTCTCTAACTAATTAACAGTTAATTAGAAATCCACCACAAACAATTTTAAATAATTAAACGAGGACTATTAGGGTTTAGGTCCTAGAATTTAGGATCTATACGTCTGGAATCCGAAATGTTTGCGTTATATTTGACAAATGACAATCACGAGCAGAAAGATCTAACAAATTCTACCGAATCATGAGTAATATTTCACTCGAAATTATTTTCTATTTTACGACACAAGTCGCTGATAAAACAGGATCATTATTTTCATATAATTGGTTCGTCGCGCGCGTAGTTCTTGGCGTTGATCGTTAAAGTGGAAACAAGTTGAACGAAATCCAACAGCTTGGCGGCAGATGCCCGGCGGCATGTTGACAATTCGGTGTCACGTCATCATCTGTCCACGAGGGCTCCGTTTGTAATCGATCCACGTGTTGTCGAGCCGCGATTCAATTCGCGAAAAATCCAGCTAAAACTCTCCTGAATCGTTACGAAAAAACCTGAATCTTCAATCTGGTATAACAAACTCTTTTTCGATTATAAAAGCAATAGAAAAACCACCTCAATTCGTTGAGTCGTCCCTAAAGTTAATAATGTTTTCCCTTACAACGTTGAAGATTGAATCTCGGAAGAGTACAGGGTGATCACAAAGATAACAAGAACCTAGTAAAAAAAAAAATCAATTCACGAGAATTCAGTTCCGAAACAACGCACGATCAATTAGATCTACTCGTTCGGAACAGTATCTCAGAGTCTATAAACACAGTTCACCCCCGAGAGAAGTACTTCGACCCTCGATAAAAAAAACCGTCCCGCTGTCAGCTCCACGGTCCCAGGATGCTCTCTAAGTGTCGAGGATCGTCGAAGGGATAAAAACAAAAAAAAAAACACAAAAAAAATCTAAACACATTCGATTTCCATCGGGAGAGAACTATGAAGAACAAAAAAGGACGCAAGAAGGGGTGACGCACCGCGGGTGGGGTTGAAAGGGTGCCCCTCCCCGTCGTCTTAATTAATTTGTTTTCGAGAGTGACTCACCCTCGACTCCTCGGGCTCCTCCCTCCGGACGTTCTGGAAGAGGACGCTGCCCATCTGAACCTGAAGATTCTGCTGCAACAGTTGCGCGAGCTGCGGGTTCTGGGTTAGGATCGCCGGGTTCTGTTGCAGCAGCTGGGCCAGCGCCGGGTTCTGGACCAGAATCTGATTCAGAGGCGAGCTCGCCATCGCGTGGGCAGACTGTTGCGTCTGTGGTTGATTGTGATGATGGTGGTGATGCTGCTGTTGCTGTTGTTCAGGGTGTTGTTGTTGTTGGTGGTGTTGTTGTTGTTGCTGTAGGCTCGGCGAATTCGTGTTCGAGGTCTGACAGGACTGCGACAGGTTGTTGCTCGGGGGTGGATTGTGACGGGGCGGACTCTGAGGGGTGTGCGGTGGCGTTGGAGGGCTACCCGGCGCCATCGATGATGCATCCTTTTCCTCTTTCACCTTCACTTTCGCTGTAACAGAGAATCGATCGTGTTTTCGGTGGCGAACGTAATTACCTTGGGGAAATATTCATACACGAGGGAGTACTCTTTTGGGGGATTCCTCGTTGAGATCAGGCGAAAGGAATAAAACTAAACAAGTCATTTTGACTTGCTTGGTAGTTCTAGTGTTAATATATTAAATGGGAAAATATACCAATTTTTATAATAAGAAACTGTTTCTTCTTGAATGAGTAGACTCTTGGCGAAAAAATTAAAACATCCAGCGAAAAAGATAAATTTTTGTCGAATTTTCATGTATGTAAATTACTGTCTAAAATTTTTAATTTGCACAATGATCCGCAGTATAGTTATGGATTGTCTTAAAAAGATTTATAATATTTAAAGACTTTCTATTGTTCAGTTACGACAATAAGGGAATATTCCTGAATTCCCAATAATACACTCTGTCCAAAGCACGGAAATATTCACACTGACATTTATACAGACGTTCTCACTTAGAATATTCAGAAACTCCCCACAATTTGTGACAAACTATAACAATAAAAAAAGACAATCACTGTCCACTATCACAATAGTAACTATCGTTTAAATATCATCATGCTCTGTAAATTCCCAATTTAAAAGACTACAACCACATACAAATAATTTAACACTTCACATTTGAAATTTCATGATATTATTCTCGTAACGTGTTTTCAATGTCACAGCTATTTCTCAGGTAGCTACTACCCCCACCAAATTCCTCGACCTACCCTCGGCACCGCTCCAACTCCTTCTCACACGGCCACCGCGATGAGACTGACTCCCTGTCACGGATTTTCCAAGATTTCGGAAAGTGTCGGTCGAACGGTGGGGGTAGACGGTGCGGTCGATTGGTCGACGACCATAAGACCGATCGACGAATAGGAACGCCGCGACTTTGATGGAAAAAAAAGGTGACTAAGGGGGAAGTTTTTGCCGGTTGAGAGGCAGACACGTGAAATTGAGACGTCTCCCGATCCTGAAAAAGCCGCAATCGACTGCGAGCAGGTACATCTGCTCCGGGTCACGGAGCCGCAGGCTTAAGCCCGATGAACTTTCATCCCCCTTTCTATACTTCCGTTTCCTACTCCATTGTTACAACACCAACTAACACAGGAATTAATAAAACAGAAAACTATCACTTTTTTCGAATATTTCCTTTTCCCAAAAATTACCTTTCTTTAGGAATCCTCGAGATCAACGCTCAGGGCTTGAATCCCTCCCAAAATAAAATTACCAACCCCTAGACTCCCACGATAATTCCCACCAGATGACTCAGCAATTTCCGACAGTTAAAAAACCGAACGATTATTCCCGAAACATCCCCTATTTTTTAACGCGAACAGACATGCCTGGTGCACATCCGAGGGTTAAAACCGCCTGTGGAAGGTGCCAGAGCCCGTTTTTAATATCCCACCGGGGCTCAGGTAGATCCGACGGGGGATTTATTCGCGCTAGGAGGATCCATGAGAACATCAGAACCCGATATCTCGGGGCCCAGTACCTGCAGCAGCTTTCGACCTGGCCAGTCGATTTCGTAGCCGCGAAACGGGGGGTTCGACAGAGAGGTACGAGAAGAAAAGAAGATTCGTGAATCGAGGAAAGGGCTGAAAGGGCCCGGCTGCGGAGATTCCCTGGGACCCCGTGGATCGATCAGGTCCGTCGGAATTACGCAACCCCTTGGACGTCAATTTTGCCTCCGGTTACCTCGTATTCCATCCCCTTTTCGATGAATTTCCACGAGTTTTTCCTGTTCTTCGCCCGGGGCGTCGTTTAAACGGACGCCACTGCCGCGTCCTCGATGAAAAATGACTATCCTCCGAGGTAATTTAAGAGACGGAACTTGTGGGAAAGTGTGCCCTTTTCTGGGACCTTTTTTTGAAGGGAGTTGCTGGTGTTTTTTTAATTGAACCTGCATGAGGAATTGACCTCGACATTTGTGGGTTTTCTAATCCTATGGGAATAGTTTATATGAATGTTTTGAATGGATTTATAGGTTTTATTTTAGTTTTTAATTGTGAGGATGGGATTGGAAATGATTGATTGACTGGGATCTGGTATCCATTCGTCTCAGAAATGGAAGAAATATTTTTATTTTGATTCTTCAATTAGTAGAACTGAATCTAACTGCTTTCTACGTTGAAGATTTGAAATCGACATTTGAAGCGAAAGTGGACACGGTTTTGATTATGTGGATCTGTTTAGACCCCCCGTGGATCTTTTCTTCTAAATGTATTTCTGAAGAAATTTAATTTTGTCCAAGGGTTACCGTACCGAAATTACAAAACCCAGAAGAAATTAATGAAATAAAACCCAAAATAACGTCAATTTCCATTTGGTTGCTTACGAAATTCCCAGTGATCCAACAGAAATAAATCAGACCATCCTTAAACACTCGACTCCCCGAATCATCTTGATTCCACGAACATTTCGAATTGAATCTCGTATGATGTTACCTAAAAAGGGGACGTTCATCTTCGGATTTCGGAGATGCTCGTGGTCCAACCAAGCGCCTGGGACCGACGAAAAAAAAAAAACGACGAAAAAATCGAGGCAGAAGGGCCTTCTAGAGAGAGAGAGAGAGAGTGAAGTGACTTGAAATGATTTCGTACACGTTTCAGCGTTAAATGGATTCCGCGGGAGATACTCCTGAGGGATCGCATGCACGCTGGCTCGCGCGCGCGCGTTATACGGCTGTGTTCACGGGGCCCCAGGATCCTTAAATCGACTCGATTTTTAAGGCACGTCCCGAGGTGGAACCTCGCGCCGCGGGGAACCTTGTGTTTCTCTTGCTCCCGCGACGTTCTTTCATCTTTACTCCACATCGGCCTGCGTACTCGCGGCGAAGTCCAACGGCCCCCGATTGATAAAAATCACGAAGAGGAGAGAAAACGCCCGGGTAAGAAATTGCTCCGTGGTGGCCGTGAACGCGCCTCGGGGGTTGGGAGGGGGTTGAAATCGAAACACCTGGGAAAATAATTGGTACAGATAGTTGGCAGAGGAATTATTAATAAGTGGAATTGTTGGTCACGTTTCGGAGGACAATTCTGTTCAAATGAATTTGAGATTCATTTATGCGGTAGAGAATTTAATAGGAAGGGATTGTCGTGTATTAAATTATTGTTTTGGACTATAAAATTTAATCCAATTTTCTATTATATTGTGTAGTATTTTATTCTGTGTACTAAAAGTAATTAGAAATATTGATTTTTAGAATAGTGATAAACGCACTTGCTGAATATCCTACTCACCATTAAATTAGAAGTTCGATTCAGTAATGTCAATCATCCCTAGACTGCGGATTTCATGTATTTATAATGTACCCAATAGACTGAAATTCAGTACAGTAAGAAATTTAATAAATTTCAGTACACGTTTAATATTCTACGGTGGTAGCAAGAACTTTGTATACAGTAAAGAAATTTCTATTTGTTTCTAGCTTTCGTAAATAAATCTTAGAAACTGATATTTGGACAAAGATCCACAGTCCAATGATCATCATCTATGTATCACTTGAAGGGACCAGTAACAAGACATTCCTTAATCAATTCTTCATTACACCCCAAATTATCAATTTCATGCCACTTTCCAGGATAAAAGATCTGGATCGAACGGCGGAACGAAGCTCCGTGACGGTGACATCCGACCCGGGGGTGAAGTTACATCAAAACCGAGAGAAAAAAAAACATCCCCCACCCCTTGCGCCCATTTTTACGAGATACTTAAGCCTTTAAACGGTCCAAGCGAAGGCTGCGTCGTCAGAGGGTCGAAATCTCTGTGCAATCTGAAAAATTCGCCCGAGAAATCGGTTAACCCCCCCTGCCCCTTTGGTGTCGATACAGCCGTAGGGAGGTTGCGTGATTTTTCTCAGGGGTTAAATCGACCGTGGCCCCCCCTCGAGGGAAGAAATAAAAAACTCCACGCGTTTTTTTTTCCACGACCACGCAGGTAGCCGTGGCTACCTGCACGCGCGCGTCCACCAGTAACCCGGAAAAGGAATCCACGAGGGAAGAAGAAAAGAACCGAAGAAATAAAATAAAAAGGACGGGGGTAGGGGGGCAGCGACCCCCGGGGGTAGGGAGAGAAGAAAAAGGAGAGATTACGCAAGAAACCTCGAAAAAGGGGAAGAAAAACACCGTGTGGCTCACCCCTAGCTGCATCGAACAGATTGTCTATCTCTCTCTCTCTCTCTGTTACCCTTGTTCCGTTTCGTTCCATCCGTTCGTCAGTGGGGGTAAGAAAACAGGGTAAAAGTGAGTTAATAGTCGGTAAAACGGTATTCACCCCGTGACCCGTCGCTGGGTTTGCCGGCTCCTTTAGGGCCGAGCCCTTTTCTACTCTTCCTCTTTTCTCACTAACGCCAGCCAAGGCCTCCCCTCTACCGTTACTCTTCCGGAAAGGGGTCGTACAGGAGAACGTCGGGCGAGGGGTTTCGGATGGATCATCGTTCCCTTTTCTACGTGCCACGGGGGATGGAAAACCGAGACACGAGACACTCCTTTCGCTGAGAAATTTGAGTAATCGTTCCGGGACCCATCGTCGAGTGCCCAGGAAGCAAAAGGGATCTCCGATTTTTTATTTTCTTTCTTTTTTACCTGCTTTTTCACCTTTCGTTCTTTCGAGGGGGAAGCTCGGGTATCGGCGTGAGAGAACTCGGAAGATGCCTGCTGGATTCGCGAGTCGTTTCCTCAATCGTTAATGATATCTTGGGAGTGTAATAGTAGATCTTTACCCCCCTTATTGGACTTTATGACGCGTTTAAGTATTTGATGTACCGATTTAATGACTATCATGGTTGTATATAAATGTACCGATTTAATTACTCGCGTGGTATGGTGTCCATGGGCTGTGGAAACATTTATGTACCCGTACCTTCATCTTCTTGGTTATTTATAGAACTGTGAGTACATTTCTCCTGGTTGCTCTAATCACTACCATCTGTTGCACTATTAATGTATTTGTTCATCCATTTAATTTAAATGTATAAA